AATGTTTTTCTGCAAACTTCGTGGAGAGTGGTCTTCTCCGCAACACCACGCCTGGACTAATGGATTACCACCTGCTTGGATTAATTTTATCTTTTCTCTTTGGTGATGCAAAGGTCTTAGCGGGTTACCCCATTTGGTGGTAAGAGACTTTTTTCCCCCCTCAAACTTTTGGCAACCTATTTATCCTTTTGCATGATATGCCTATATGTACATATGATCTAACTGTGTTCCCAATGCTGTGCTTTGAATCCTACGTTCAGTCTTACCCCTTTTTTCAGAATTCGTGCAAAGCTTTAAGGTGATGGCATTGCATTTTGATTTCAGAACGGTGATCCTTCCCAAATTTCTCTCCCCCCCCCCCGGTTCGGTTGAGGGAGACCGTTTTCTAGCTGCAGCCATTTGTAGTTTCAAAACAGCATCGCAGAATATAATTTTCAAACAGTGACATTAACAGTGTGAAAGTCAGCTGAATGAAAGGATAACAGCTCAGAAGTTTTGAATGGGAAAGGTATAATTCTGATTCATTTCTATGAAGTATGTGGCTGCAGAGCATGGTGGCACACTGACAAAGCTGTGTAGAGAGACGATGGTCAAAGATGCTTTTTCAGTTTTTATATAACATGGGCACTCTTCATTCTATTCAAGTACTTGAGCTGGATGGGAATGTGTGCATTTTATTTTAAATGTAAAAGAATTATATTTCATGTGGTGCTACATTGTGTTTTTAAATATTTGGTGTTAATAAACATGAGCTAGCTAAAGATCTAATTTTATGATATTTGTTTGTATCACTTGGATTTCTGCTTGCAATCAAGAGTAACAGAGAATTTTTTGCATCCAGTGGAAGCTTGTTCTTGGTCACCATGCAAACAAACAAACAAACAAAAAAGGATAAAGACATATTCCCCCCAAATTCCTTTGTCGTTGTCAGGTTGGGGACCAGGATAAGACATTTACAGCAAAGCTATATCTAAGGTTAAGTTAAAGACACAAGTAATTAATAATTCTCTGTCTCTGACAATTTCTTCTTTGATAAGTTAAGATGTTTCTATTAAATACATGTTAGAAATTCCTAAACCTATTGAAATTGGATATAATGTAAGCTTCAATAGCACATAGATATTCATCTCTTCCACCTTCTAGAATTCCTGTCTATATTATTCATTTTAAGGTCCTTTCTAAGCTGACACAACAAAGAAATGAGCTAAACTGGAATATGGAGGGAGGCTAGAAAGCGACGGTATTTTGAAAAATGACATTTATTGTAAAACTACTTTAGAGTGCCATACTAAATTCATTAAATGAAGCATTTGGCACATCTGGTAATATTTTAAGTATGTTTTGTTCAATGTGTGGAAATGGTAGAGAGACTTAAATCACAAAGAGTTTATTTTCCTTTGCCAAATGAACACTAGTCATACATTCAGAGCACAGACAGGATATTTCCCCCCCAATTCAAAATCCCTTCATTTAGGATTAATCAGATCTCTTTTAGCCCTAGGTTTAATTTTAAAAAAAACTTCCTGCAATATTTATTGGGAAAGGTTGCAAAGAGGGCGCCTCTCATCATCTGAGTTAAAAGCTTTGTTAAAAGTGGAGGAATTGTCAGTGAGAGCTGATCCCAAGAACTGGGCTTGCTTGCCAAAATGCAGCTCTGGTTGGGGACAGTTGGTGTTGCAAATCAACACAGGCCTTTAAACTTTGATTGAAATAAAGCAATTTTGAGACATAATGAGGTAGTTTGATGATACTGTACTTTAATAGCAAGATCCATATCTGCTTGATGAATGGAGGAATAAAAGGTTTGTTCTTCTCTTTCTACTTAATCTGTTCCCAAACTGCTCTTCTGCAAAATCCAACCAAAGAAACACTCATGCACATCTTGAGTGACCTCTCAGAAAACAAAATATTACTTCCTTGGCTCCAACACTCTACAAAATCTGACACATATAATTTATAAGAAGATGGAAATTAGGGATCTGCATCTACTTGTAATGGGAAAGGAAAAGATATATGTGGCCATCTGAGTTAAGTTCTCTTTTTATAGAATTATTCTCGTTAAAGATGGAGACAAATTCCATAATAATTACCTTGCATATTGACACTGAAGCATCTGTTCTAGTGGTAATTAATTTAAAAGTAAGTGCATTAATAGGTTATTGAAACAAAGCATAATGCATCCTGAGCTGGAGACTATGTGTATGCTTCAGATCCATCTTCTTACCTTATTCTGCTTGCTATGTGTTTCACACTTCTTGGTCATTTATTTCAGCTTATTATTTTCCATTTATATGAAGGAGCTGTTCCTTCACTGGGGCATTCACTCCAAAGAGCTGAATGTCTAGACCAAGCCCCCTTTGCAAATGCTCAACTCCCCCTGCAGGATAAATCTAATACAATTTAGAGAGGATGAACTATAGGAAAATTAAGTTGTTTTTGTTGTTGTTTTTGTGTGCTGTCAAGTTGTATCTGAGTTATGGTGAACCTAGTAGGTTTTCAATGTATGTGAGATATTTAAGGAGTGGTTTTACCCGTACTACACCTGAGTGAATTTTCATGTCTGAATGGGATTCGAACCCAGGTCTCCTAGTCCATCATTCTGCCCACTAGATAGTTTCGTTAGCTTGAAAGTTAACACTTAACTAACCTCTTTAAACATCTTCACCGTTGGTTGTTTAACAAAAATTGTACACTTCTATTTCAATTAAATGCAGATGCATGCAAGCTTTTCAATATATTTCTAAGAGTTACCACATTTATTCCAGCATGTAGTGCATGTATAGTAGTTACAAGCCAGAAAATATGTGGTGTGTGTGTGTGTGGGGTGGCCACAGCTGCTATGGACTTGTAGATGGAGAGAGAGAGAGGGAGAGAGAGTTAGAATCACAATCTATTTTTCAGTTTAAAATGTGGACAACTATACTTCCTTATCACCATAATAAAAACATCTAACATAGTTTTTATTAAAAACAAACATATAGATATCAGGCTGCATTTTGGCTTGTTGATGTATCCAACTCATCCCAGCTACAACATATTTAGAGGTGTGATATTGAGAATCAAGGAGATTGTGTGGAGAAATGTGAAAGAACTGAAATGTTTGCACAGTTGCTACTTCGCCTGGAATTTGAGGGTAAGGGAAGGATGGGTGGGATATACATGTATCAATGTACCAAAAATTGCATGGTAAGGAACCTACAAGAAAGACAGAATAGCTTTAGCTTTACCCTCTGTTTTGCCTTCCCTGCCTTACATATTCCTAGAATCATTTAATTTACTGCTATTTAATCTTTTATCCTGATTTGTTTCAGTTGAAACATCAGTCAACTAGTGTTTATTCCATCTTTTCATGTCATTATTGTTAAGCAATGTAATGAACAATCACCGCACTATTCTTCAAGTGTTACCTAGTTCAGAATGAACTGGGTTTGAATCTTGGATGCGTTGCAGACCTGGGTGCCATATTGCTTTCTGAGGCAGTCTCTTTTGGGAGTGGAAATTCTACGGTTCCTCTCTTGGTGTTACAGAATGATTACACTGGACTAGTTGCTGCCTTTCCGTAGTGCTCTGAGCGAAACTCCACGCTGTTATCTCTCATTGTCACTGGGCAGGGATTCCTCCTCCAGCAATGGAGATAACATTGGTAAGAGTGGGCTTTCCTCTCATAGTGGTTGAGGTAGCATTTTTGTAGCAGTGCTAGAGGGAGAGAGACAAGGGAGAGAACAGGGCATTGCAGAAAAAGGAACTAAGTTGGGAATCAACCGCCATGAGATACCGTAGATAAAGACATCTCCCCCAGGCCACATCAGTTTGTGACTTGGAGGTTCCCCATACCTGACTGAGGATACATCAGTTCTCTACATCCCTCATCTGACATCAATAATTTTGTGTTATCAAGGACCTTTTGTTGAGGACAGGGCATTTTGGAGATCGCTCATTGATAGGGTCCTCATAAGCTGGAGGTGACTTGGCACATAAGAACAACAACAAGAACTTTAGTTTCATCAGAATTTGCTAATCTGTACAAATGGAAAATAAGAGTAATTTATTGCAACAGAGGTGTTGCAAGAACTATGCAGTCATGTTTCCAGTTAGATTAACTAGGGTTTTAGACTTGGGGGGAAGTTGTCATAGTAACAAAAACAGTTTTGTAGAAGCCAAGCTGGTGGATCTGGAATAGTCCTGGTTGCAATTTCTAGAATACAGTATATATGATGCTACTGTCATTTTGTATGAAGGCTCTTAAATTTTTCTAGCCTCCCCTAGATCAAACAGGTCAGAAAGGCATGCATCTACTTAAGCTGCATTCATCAAACGGTTTGCAGGCTTCTTTATAGTACATTTATATTTATGCAACTGCTATGGAGCAAAGCACTAGGAAGCAGTGTGCTTGGAGCACTGTTCTGTTCATGCCATAACTCTTTCAGATTCTTCCCACTGAAAAAAATAAAATGTTAACTCATTTGCAAATGTTGATATTTTGCCTCCAAACTAGAGGATATACCAAGGCTGTTCCAAGCTAGCCTAGCCCATGTCTAGGTCAAACAAGGGTTCGAGGTAAAAGTCTTTTCCTGAGGGTGGGAGAAGATTGCAGTTTGTTAACTTCAGGTTCAGGAAGTAAAGCCAATGCTAGAACTCCACTGAGATAAACTGTAAGCTACAGATACACAAGACTCAAGTTAAACCAGTGAACAAATGGAAAGCTACTCGTGGCTGGAAGGTATCCTTGCTTTCTATGGTCTACATCAGTGGTCCTCAACCTTGGGCCTCCAGATGTTCATGGACTACAACTCCCAGAAGCCCTCACCACCACCTCTGCTGGCCAGGATTTCTGGGAGTTGAAGTCCAAGAACATCTGGAGGTCCAAGGTTGGGGGCCACTGGTCTACATGACATTAGTGACAGACAGTCTTGCATACAAACAGCTTAATAGCAGGGCCTTCAGCCAGCCGCATAGTAGTGCTACCTTTGTGGGGAAACTAAAGGATATAGTTGGGTCCTCCTAATTTTCAAGAACCTGCCCTGATGTGCTGCCTTGCTTGGCCCATAATACTCAAGGAAACAGAATGTTAAAGCTAGCTTCTCAGGTTCTGCAAGCTTACATTGATTTGTTATGCAGGAAAATCCATCTGTCTTGCAA